AGACACTCTACGAGCGTCTAGCTTTACCATTACCTCAAAATGACGGTTTATTCCATCTCGAGCTGAGTTGCAACAGTTCGTGTGTGCTGTCAATTGGAGTCATGTGTATACCCGAGTACGCCAAGCTGGTGGCACCGCTGCTGCGACTGTTGGGCGGCGCTGCCAAGGCGACAGTTGGCACTAGACGGAAGTCGACGCATGAGAGGGTCCACCTGGTCAACATCGGATAGGCCGACGACGATGAGTCATGTTTCGAGGCCATCAAAGATACCTTGCGCCGCATGGTCCTGTTGGCCCATCCGACATCTGACAAGGTAGTCTGCCTATATACCGACGCCTACGACGGTTTTTGTTCTGGAGCCACTCAGATCCCCTCGCTGGCCTCGGCCTAGAAACGACCAACCAACGCCACGAACCATTTGTATTCCTAAGTGGTGCGTTCCACGGGGTTAGCGAGGGCTGGCCTATTGTGGAGAAGGAGGCATTTACCATGTCGAGGCTTTCAAGCGCCTCGAGTACCTGCTGTTGCGTCCCGGTGGTTTCCATCTATTCACGGACCACCGGAATTTCGTCTACATGTTCCACCCAGGTGGTGGTGGTGCAAGCATCGACAAGTACCTAGCCAATAAACTACAACTCTGGTCCATGGTAATGTCGACTTTTCCCTATGTGATCGAGCCGATCGCGGGGGACGAAAAGTTTGAGGAACCTCCTGAGCCGGTGGGGCACGGTAAACCGCGACGTTAGCCGTTCCCGTGTCTACCGACTACTCCAGCTGGTGTCGCTGTTGCGTTCAAAAATTTTCGAGTGGCCCGCCTTGGACGAGATTGTCCGCACTCAGCGCGGTTGTCTTGACTACGAGTGTCAGCCGACCTTGAGGACAAATCCGTCGTCAAGTGGTCGTTGACAAGACCTGATTTGTACTACCGTCGGATGCCACGTGGATCCCGAGCGGCTGTGTGGACATGCAACGACGGTTATGCGTGGCCGCCCATGCGGGAATGGGGGGCACCGTCGCGCTCAAGCTACCAAGCAAACCATCACGGAGCTGTTTTATTGGAATGGTGTCGATGCCGACGTCGAGGCTTTCGTTAAGGCCTGCATGCTCGTGGATGGGGTCGAGGAGCCCCGGACATGAGGACAGGCGCTGCACACCGACCGACTCGACGGGCTCATTCACTTCGACTGGCTCCAGACGCCAGTCGAGGTGAACGAACGGCTGGCGGTATCTGCTAGTTGCCAAGGACGTGAGCGGGAATGTCCGCCTCTACCCTCGTGCTGAAGCGACGGCTCATGCAATATCGACGGCGCTGTTTGACTAGTTCGAGCTATTTGGCACCGTCTCAACGTGGTTTAGCGATTGTTCGAAGTTTTGGAAGAGCTGAATCTGACACTCGGCACCACCACTTCATCACCCCCACTGTCCATGTGCGAATGGGACAGTGGAGGCGATGAATCGACTGGTCCTATGCATGTTCCGCGCGTTGTGCAGCGAGTTCAAATGCGAGCAAACGAGTGGTCATTTACCGTGCGGAAGGTTCAGTCTGCCTTGAACCACCAACCGGCCAGTCACCTCAAGCTGTACTCCGAAACGCGTCGTGACGTTGCCGAGGATCTCTTCGAGCAACTTGCCTATGGAAACTGTGGGTTCCACGTGGAAGCTCTCAAGGAGATCCGAGACAATGCTGGCCGCTTCGAGGTTGGTGTGCAGTGGCTGGATAAGGCTGGGTCATCCTGGGAGCCGGCAATTTCCTTGTACGAAGACATTCCCATGCTTTTTTTACGATGGGCTAAAGCCAACGCGAAGATGGAACTGATCTCGTCGTTGGTCGCCGACGTGGAGCAAGTGGTGGGGCATCTTTTCTAGGTGTTCGCGCGGAATCGTGATCCACGTGCAATACGGTGTTCTCGCAATGTTTCAACATCCATGTCAGTGTGTTGTACTGTAGACGTACAGCGGTGGTACGGTGTAGGCGATATGAAGTATGCAGTAAATACCCGAATAGGTACCCTAATTTTTATTGTTTAATCTTAAACTAATTGGTATAATTTTTTGACTTTTCCTTTGAAAGACAGTGAGAGTCGTTAGCGATATCACTTGCCGAGTCGGGGACCCGGAAGTGAGAACACCACGTTCTCACGTTTGACAGGCGCTTTGACGATGCCAGAGTTCATCCAAGAGCAGAGACGCATCGTCATTATATTCGACAGTGTCGATTGCGATAAACTAGTGCTTGTGAACTCGCGACCTGCGGCGGTAAGTACTAACCGGGAAATTATGATTACCTGCTAAACGGGCTCGGGGTTGAAAGGTAACGGATATCAAGGGAGTTACCTTACCGTTTACCTTTCCCATCAAGTCTTTAAACCAGCAGCAGAGTCCTTCACAATTGAATTCAGTCCAATACAATTTCGCAAGGAATTTGCAGAAGTATTCATGAATTATGGAAGCTAGTTTTAAATGGCGAAGCAGCCGCGTTTTATATCAGTAACAATTATTTGAGTCAAAACAAAGAGATTCCAAAATGATCAAGTTACTGAAAAAGAACAACGTTGCTGATGAGTTCAAAGTTGGACGACAAAATCAAAAACAAGTTGAAGTTCTCTAACCCAAACGAATGCGAGAAGCACGATTGTAGTCCATCGCAGCTCCTTCTTGCCGATTCAGCCGGTATCTTCGCTGCGTCTCCGCATGTTTCCGCTTCCTTTCGTTTGGCGTTCGTTCGTACCGAGCTAAGACTTGCCCATAAAACGTCGCGTCTTCACAACGCGGAGACATAAGGGAAACATGAAAATTCGTCAACGCAAACGCAGCTTATCAGTTGCCGTCTCGTATACACATCCTAACATGCATGAAGATTACATGGTATCATATTCACGAGATCGCCATGCCATGAAGCGGCTCAA